GCCGCCGGCTGCCCCGCCCCAGCCCGCGGCGCGCAGATGAAGGTGGAAGTCAGGGTGATGCGCCAGCGTGGGGGCCACGCACACCCGCTTACAGGGTGTGGGATCGTTGAAGAATTTATGTCCAGTGGGAAATTTCCGCAGGTTCTGAAGCGGTTACGTTTCCAGGGACAGTTGCTGAACGAGGTGGAAGCAGTTTAAGGAGCCTCATGCGCTTAGATGGGCTGAGCAGCTGGCAGTCTTTTACTTATTTATATATCCATTGAAGGTTGTATGTTAGTAATGAAGGCTACATGTGGAATTATCTTTCTATGTTGAAATATAAAGTATATGTAGTTGAAATGAAGTTTAGCCTGATAATGGAGAAAGTAAAATGGAGTAAGCCTTGCTAAGAGAGTCACTTAAAATAGGGCTGGAGGCTGTTAGGGAAGTGGGGCCCATGCAGATCTTGTGGCTCAGCTCCCACGGCTGCTGTTAAGCTGCTAAACTCAGCTCAAGGATGAGCCATAAACATAACATCCTGGAACAACCATTGTTTGGACACATGAATTTGTTAAAAAACAAAATTCAAGTAATTTGTTAAAAAACAAAATTTGAAGATCTGATACTGTTGTAATTAACCTAGTTATTAAGTATAGGAAAGGAACAAAGGGAAGATAGAGCATGCCCAGTAAAGATGGGGTGATGTTGGAAAGGTACTTGCATGTCGGTCACATCTGGGAACAGGTCATTGGCCAGGATAGGTGTGGCCACTGCAAGGGTGTGAAATTTAGAATAGTTAATCCCCCAAACAAAGAAGTTCACTCTCTTGGCTCTCTTGGGACTCTTGTTCAAGGGGGTGCACCCTCTTGGCTCCTCCCCCCCCCCCAATGGACTAATGGACTGCAACTGGCCTGATGCTGAACTGGTCCTGGCTGCAATGTGGACTGTAAACTCTGGACACTGGCTTTTCTTCTAGCTCTACTGGAACCCCAGCTACACTTCTATAATTGGACTAATGGACATGGGACTTTGGAAACCCAGGCATGTAATTCCATGCAAATAAAAATCCCTCATCCTCCTGTGCAAGTATCAGAAAATTTTTTTTCTGGAGATATTGTAAGGCCTCCACCCCCACTCAGTAGGGAAAAGCATACCCCAATCTCCCTGATAAGAGATCTACTTGGCTTTATTAAACAATTCATGAGTATAGCAGCATCCCGTCTAGCAACTAGAAGGGAGGTCCCAGGAGTTGTACAAAATGAAAGGATTTTATAGGGCAAGGGAGCTTTTAGGGAAAGAAAAGAAAGGATTGTTGGGGGAGGGGGCATCTTTACTTTGGGGGAAGAGAAGGGGAAGGGTTTTTGTTATGTGGATTACCTTTTCTTTTAATGGGGTAAGGAGAGGGTCCATGTGATAGATTACCTTACTGGTGCTGGACCAAGAAATTCCATACTGATCAAGATTATGTTTCTGGGACAAATTGCAATTGCAATTAAATCAGGTATTAAATATAGGCTTGTTTCTCATGGGATTTTACACGAGTGCTGCCATTTTGGATCTGTGATGTTTTTGCTTTTTAAAAATTTTTTTATTGAATTTATTGGGGTGACATTAGTTAATGAAATTATATAGGTTTCAAATGTACAATTCTATATATATCATCTGTATATTAGTTATGTGTTTACCACCCAAAGTCAAATATTATGTTACCATATGTCTGACCCACTTTATTATTTATTTTTACTTTAAAATTTTTTTTAAAATTGATTTTAGGGGGAGAGAGAGAAAGAAACATTGATTTGTTTTTCCACTTATTTAAGTATTTATTAGTTGCTTCTTGTATGTACCCTGACCAGAGACCCAACTTGCAACTTTGGCATATTGGAACAATGCTGATGCTCTAACCAACTGAACTATCCTGCCAGGGCTATCTGACCTACTTTACTACTTCCCCAGCTAGCTAGTCATTTATCTCATGTTTATATATAAGTTCCCCTGTTCATGATCTGCTTTATTTCTCCTGTATTGCTTCCTTTGTTCATAATTGTTCTTGTTAATCTTGATGTTTATTTTTTCTAAATGAACTTTAGGATTGGCTTGTGGAGTCTTGGCTAACTTGCCCAAACTGGCCCTACACCCTCCCCTCTCCCCCTCAATCATCTGTTGGTTTTTAATTGGCCTGGGTGTGGTTTTATATATATTCTGCAGGTGGAGAATTTACTCTTAGTTTTTCATTTCTGTGTTTCTTTCCCATTCAGCAAGGCGTCCTACATAAACATTTCCCATAATATCTTCTCAGGAAAGGCCCCCTTTCATCCCAGAAGGAGTGGTGGCACGCAGGAAGAGAATGGAGATTGGGGAGCCTCAGAGGAAGAGGGTAGGTCACTGTCAGCCTCACTGGGTTTACCTGTGAAGATGGGTAGAAAGGCTTTACAGTGAGGGGTGGGGACTTGGAGCATGAATACGGAATACGCTGACAACATTACGCTGACAACATCAGTGTCCACACTTGATGCTGTATGAGAACACAGCTGTGAAATCCAACACAGGTTCCACCCTTATGTATGTGTCCCTCCAGATGGTCACAACAGCCCTCCTACTGGAAATAGGAGCTGAGTGCCAGGGGTGGAAAGGATTCTTCTTTAGGTTGGAGAGGAGGTTATTTCACAGGAATGAGGGGCTCAGCATTTCTGGACCTGAAGGGTCAAGTAGAGCTGATCATAACCCTGTTGTGTGTTTTTTTTTTAAATTGCAGGAACGAGATATTGAACTGGAACTGGGAGATGATTATATTTTGGATCTTCAAAGTAGGGCCTGCACTAGTTGTTTTATTTTTATTTTTATTTATGCATTTACTTTTATTCCAAATATTACAGATGTCCATTTTTCTCTCCATTGACCCCTTTCACCCTGCCCAATCCCCCTCCTCAGTCCCTCTCCACACCATCGTCTGTGTCCATGGGTTATGCATACATGCATATAAATTCTTAGGTAAATTTCTCCCCCTACCCCCTCCTTCCCTCCGAGATTTGTCAGTCTGATTCATGCCTCCATGTCACTGAATCTATTTTGTTCATCAGTTTATTAAGTTCTTTAGATTCCACATATAAGTGAGATCATGTGATATTTGTCTTTCTTTGCCTGGCTTATTTTACTTAGCATAATATTCTCCAGGTCCATCCATACTGTCCCAAACGGTACGAGATCCTTCTTCTTTACAGCTGCATTGTATTCCATGGTATAAACGTCCCACAGCTTTTTTATCCACTCATCTACTGATGGGCACTTGGGCTGTTTCCAGGTCTTGGCTATTGTAAATAATGCTGCTATGAACATAGGGGTGCATATATTCTTTCTGATGAATGTTTCAGGATTCTTAGAATATATTCCTAGAAGTGGTATCACTGGGTCAAAAGGCAGCTCCATTTTTAATTTTTTGAGGGAGCTCCATACTGTTTTCCATAGTGGATGCACCAGTCTGCATTAACAGCAGCAGTGTATCAGGGTTCCCTTTTCTCTACATCCTTGCCAGCACATGTTCATTTGTTGATTTGTTGATGGTAGCCATTCTGACAAGTGATACCTCATTGTGGTTTTCATTTGCATCTCTCTGATGATTAGCAACATTGAGCATTTTCTCATATGTCTCACGGCTATCCATATGTCCTCTTTGGAGAAGTGTCTATTCAGGTCCTTTGCCCTTTTTTTAATTGGATTGTTTGTCTTCCTCTGGCTGAGTAGTATGAGTTCTTTTTACACTTTGGAAATTAGCCCCTTATCACATACATCCTTGGCAAATATATTTTCCCAGACCATGGGGCTCCTTTGTATTTTGAGGCTGTTCTCTTTTGCTGTGCAGAAGCTTTTCAGTTTAATGTAGTCCCATATGTTTATTTTTTCTTTTGTTTCTCTTGCCCTAGGAGATGTATCAGTGAAAATTCCACTATGTGAGATGTCTGTGACTTTACTGCCTGTTTTCTTCCAGGATTTTTATGGTTTTTTGACTTACATTTAAGTCTTTTATCCATCTTGAGTTCATTTTTGTGTATGGTGTAAGTTGGTGGTCTAGTTTCATTTTTTTTATGTAGCTAATTTTCCCAGCACCATTTATTGAAGAGACTGTCTTTACTCCATTGTATGCTTTTGCCCCCTTGGTCAAATATTGACTGACCATAATTGCGTGGGTCTATTTCCAGGGTCTCTTCTGTTCTATTGATCTGTATGTCTGTTGTTGTACCAGTACCAGGCTGTTTTGATTACAGTGGCTTAGTAGTACAGTTTGATATCCAGTAAAGTAATCCCTCCCCCTCTGTTCTTCTTTCTCAAGAAGGCTGCAGCTATTCGGGGTCTTTTTCAGTTCCATATAAATTTTTGGAATATTTGTTCTAGCTCTGTGAAATATGGTGTTGGTATTTTAATGAGAATTGCACTGAATCTATAGATTGCTTTGGGTAGTATGGACATTTTAATATTAATTCTTCCAATCCATGAACATGGTATATTCTTCCACTTGTTTATATCTTCCTCTATTTTCTCAGTGTCCTGTAGTTTTCTGAGTACAGGTCTTTTACATCCTTGGTTAAGTTTATTCCTAGGTATCTTATTTTTTTAGTTGCAATGGTAAATGGTATTGTTTTTTTAGTTTCTCTTTCTGAGAGTTCATTGTTGGTCTATAAAAATGCTTTCGATTTCTGGATGTTAATTTTGTATCCAGCAACCTTGCCAAATTAATTTATCAAATCTAGTAGTACTTTGATGGAGTCTTTAGGGCTTTTTATGTACAGTATCGTGTCATCTGCAAATAATGACAGTTTTACTTCCTCCTTTCCAATTTGGATACCATTTATGTTTTCTTCCTGTCTGATGGCTGTGGTAAGGACTTCCAATACTATGTTGAATAATAGTAGTGAAAGTGAACATCCCTGTCTTGTTCCTATTTTTAAGGGAAATGGTTTTAGTTTTTGCCCATTGAGTATGATGTTGGCTGTAGGTTTGTCATATATGGCCTTTATTATGTTGAGGTATGTTCCCTCTATTCCCACTTTGCTTAGAATTTTTATCAGAAATGTGTGCTAGATTTTGCTTTTTCTGCTGCTACTGATATGATCATATGATCTTTGTCCTTCATTTTGTTTATGTGATGTATCACATTTATTGATTTGCAGATATTATACCAGCCTTGCATCTCCGGTATAAATCCCACTTGGTTGTGGTGTCTGATCTTTTTAATGTATTGCTGGATCTGGTTTGCTAGTATTTTGTTGAGGATGTTAGCATCTATGTTCATCAAGGATATTGGCCTGTAATTTTCTTTCTTTGTAGTGTTTTTATCTGGTTTTGGGATTAGGATGATGCTGGCCTCATAAAAAGAGTTTGGGAGTTTTGCCTCCTTTTGAATTTTCTGGAATAGTTTGAGGAGAATAGGTGTGAATTCTTCTTTGAATGTTTGGTAAAACTCACCTGTAAATCCACCTGGTCCAGGATTTCTCTTTGCTGGGAGTTTTTTGATTTGCTTCAATTTCATTAGTTTTTATTGGCTTATTCAGGTGTTCTGCCTCTTCCTGATTCATCCTTGGAAGACTGTATGCTTCTAGGAATATATCCATTTCACCCATGTTGTCCAGTTTGTTGGCATATAGTTGCTCATAGTATTTTCTTATCATCCTTTGTATTTCTGTTGGGTCAGTTGTTATATCACCTGTTTCATTTCTGCTTTTATTTATTTGGGCCCTCTCTCTTTGTTCCTTGGTGAGTCTGGCTAAAAGTGCATCAATCTTATTTATCTTTTCAAAGAACCAGCTCTTGGTTTCATTGATTGTTTTGTATTGTTTTTCAGTCTCTATGTCATTAATTTCTGCTCTCTTTATCATTTCCTTCCTTCTACTTATTCAGGGCTTTTCTTGCTGTTCTCATTCTAGTTTTTTTAGTTGTTATGTTGGATGGTTCATTGGAGCTTTTTCTTGTTTTTTGAAGTAGGCCTGTACTACTGTGAACTTTCCTCTCAGGACAGCTTTCACTGTGTCCCATAGATTTTGGGTTGTTGTCTGTTCATTTTCATTTTTTCCCCCAGGAAGTGTTTGATTTCTTCCTTGATCTCATTGATAACCCATTCATTGTTTAATAACATGCTATTTAGCCTCCATGTGTTTGAATATTTTTGAGTTTTTTTATAGTGGTTGATTTCTAGTTTCATGGCACTGTGATCCAAGAAGATGCTTGATATGATTTCAGTCTTCTTGAATTTGTAGAGACTTGCCTTGTGCCCTAACATGTGGTCTATTTTTCAGAATGTTCCATGTGCACTTGAGAAGAAAGTGTATGCTGCTGCTTTGTGATGAAATGTTCTATAAATGTCAATTAAATCCATTAAATCTAGTGAGTCGTTTAAGGTCTGTATTCTCTGTTGATTTTTTTGTCTTGATGATCTATCCAATGATGACAGTGTGGTGTTAAAGTCCTCCACTATGATTGTGTTGCTGTTGATCTCCCCCTTAAAGTCCACCAAGAAATTTTTTATATATTTAGGTGTTCCTATATTGGGTGCATATATATTTACAAGGGTCATTTCCTCCTGTTTGATTGAACCCTTTAGTATTATGTAGTGACCTCTTTGTCTCGTTATGGTCTTTATTTTTGAAGTGTGTTTTGTCAGAAATAAGTATTGCTACTACAGTTTTTTGTTTTGTTTTGTTTCCATTTGCATGGAATATTTTTCTCCACCCCTTCACTTTTAGCCTATGTGAATCTTTTGCCCTCAGGTGGTCTCTTGTAGACAGCATATATTTGGGTCCTGTTTTCTTATCCATTCAGCTACTCTATGTTTTTTGATTGGACCATTTGATCTGTTTACATTTAAGGTTACTATTGAGATATACTTATTTAATGCCATTTTTCCCTTTTATGCTGATGTACCTTTTTTCAATATTTCTTCTTTTTCTTACAGCAGTCCTTTTAGCATTTCTTGCCGTGCTGGTTTGGTGGTACTAAACTCCTTTAGCCTTCTTTTGTCTGGGAAGCTCTTTGTTTCACCTTCAATTTTAAATGATAGCCTTGCTGGATAAAGCAGTCTTAGTTGCATGTTCTTGCTTTTCATTACTTTGAGAACATCATGTTACTCCCTTCTGGCCTGACGAGTTTCTTTTGAGAGATCTGCTGTCAGCCTTATTGGGGTTCCCTTGTAGGTCATTGCTTGTCTCTCTCTTGTAGCCCTTAATATTCTCTCTTTGTCCTTGACATTTGCCGTTTTAATTAGGATGTGTCTTGGAGTGGGTCTCTTTGCGTCCCTTTTGTTTGGAACCCTCTGTGCTTCCTGAAGTTGTGTGGCTTTCTCCCTTGCCAGCATAGGGAAGTTTTCTGTCATTATTTCCTCCACCAAGTTCTCTATCCCTTGCTCTCTTTCCTTCCCCTCTGTCACCCCTATGATGTGAATGTTGTTTTGCTTCATGATGTCCCAAGGCTTCCTTAGACCGTCCTCATATTTTTTAAGTGTTTTTTCTTTTTGCTGCTCTGGTTGTTTCTTTCTACCTTATCTTCTAAGTCACTTATTCTGTCCTCTGCTTCATTGAGCCTGCTTTTAATACCTTCCAGGTATTCTTGATATCAGATACAGTATTCTTCATTTCTGCCTGATTCTTATTTATATTTAGCTCTTTTTTCATGTTTTCACTAAGTTCTTCGACCTTTCCATTAAGTGTCTTGTTGTTCTCATTAATTTCCTTGAGTACCTTTATAACCATTACTCTGAATTCCATTTCTGATAACTTGCTTAACTCCATCTCATCAAAGTCTTTTTCTGGCAATTTTCCTTTTCTTTAGTTTGGGGGTTGTTTCTTTGTCTTTCTATTTTGATGGCTCTTAGTGTTTGTATCTATATATTAGATATATTTGCTGTCGCCCTGTTTTGTGCGGTGGGATTTTGTATTGTGAGTCCAGTGGAGCCCAGAGGTGTGTTTTCCTTATACTTCTGAGCTATTTGCTCTAGGAGTGTCTTTTTTGTGGGTGTCCCTTTTGTGAGTTTGTTGGGCTCTCCTGTTGTGCTTGGGTCTAGATTGTTGTTGACCAGTTCTTGGGAGGACTCTCCTCGCAGGTTGGCTAACTGTATGTCTCAGCCCCAACCATGTTGTGTGAGCTGTTGTACAGCTGCTGGCAAGGTAAGACAATATACAACCAAACTGCCAGGTAATAAGCAGTATCTTACAAAATATCCTGACAATCACAGTGAAAACATCCCAAGTGAAAGTATAATTGGGAGAGTGAAGTAAGAACACAAATGCTAAAGCAAAAAAAAGAAGAGAGAGAAAAAAGGGAAAAAAAATAGAGAAAAGGATATTATTGCTAATAGTAACAAAAAATAAAAAGTAATAATAATAAACTTAAGTAAAAAAGTAAAAAATAGACAAGCTACTGGGAGATAAAAGGGGCAGAGAAAAGATTCTGAAAGAAGGGTGAGCAAAAAATTAAGGGTAAAGCATAAGAATACGAAAATAGTTGAAAGTGAAAAAATAAAAATACAATAAAGAGAGAAACAAACAAACAGGAAGACAGAAGGGAGAAAAAGAAAAGACAGGAAAAAAAAGTTATGCCAATGGAATGAGAAAAGAGAGATAAAGCAAGGGCAGGGAGGGAGTTCAATAAGAGATATGGGGGAAATAATAGAGAAAAGCAGTAAACTTAATGGTTATAATGATAATGTCCTAGCAATTAAGGAGAGACTATCAAGAAAATCTTTATAATAGAACAAAAGACAAAACAAAGCCAAAAAACCCCCAAAACAACAAAAACAAAGAAACAAGCAAAGCAAAACAAATTAAAAAAATTTTTAAAAATTAAAAAATTTAAAAAGTTTTTTTCTTTTCTCTCCTTTTCCTAAGAGGAAAAAAAAAAAGTCAATCAGGTGAGTTTCTTCTGGGCAGCTTATGTTGTCTGAGGCTCACTGTGTTGTGTGCTGATTTCAGTTCTCCTGGGAGGTACTTGTGTATCAGCCAGTGTCAGGAGCTGTCTAGGTTTGGCTCTGGTTGCTGACCTGAGGATCTTTGTGGACCAGAACCACTTGTCAGCTATTTTGTCTCCCCCTTGTGGTTGATGGGTCTTACTCCAGAGTCTTCTGAAGGGTCTTTAGGGTGCAGGCTGGCTAGTGTAGCTTGGGATATTGCTCCCCTTACTTAGAGGTTTTGCTCTCAGGCACTCACTGTGGGGAAGTTAGTCTCTGCTCCACAGCCAGCTCCTCAGTCCCTATCCTGTCCTCCGATTCCAGTTCCCCATTCAACGGCCTGCTACAGTTTCAGACTGACTTGTCTGTGGCATTTTCTGTATGGGCCGTTTCAGCAGCCTGGGCTCAGTGGGTTCAATTAAAAAATATTCCGGTGAGCACGTTGCCTGCCCAGCCCCCAGCAGGGGTTTTAAGCTTTTCCTCCAGTTCCCAAACAACAGTCCCTGAGAGTCTTATTCCTGTTAGCTGTTCTCCCTTCCCCCTCAGGACTGTGCTCAGCAGGGGATATCTGGGGCTTCAGTGAGCTGAACCAGCCCCTTTCCTGTTTGGGGTGGTGCTTTTAGTGTGTAAGAGAGGTAGTCATGCTCCTTTCCCAGATTTGGTTGGATGATGCACGGGTTGCGTATTTCAGATTCTCCACAATGCAGACATAAGTCCCAGCTTTCGCTGGTCTGTCTCCCTAGTGCAAGCCAGGAATATGGACATCTGTTCAGCGATCAAAAACTCAAAAACGCACAAAGCAACACACAATACAGAATCTGACCTGTAAGGTCTTGCTGCTCCCTTGCCTAGGCACCAAGCGGAGGGGTCTTAAATTCAGCCCCACGCAGCTCTCCTGCACAGCTGATGTCAGTATGGCTGGGGCAGCTCCTTGTGCTCTATTCTGGCACCCCTTAGGGCATGTCAAAAATCCCAGATTTGCCTCTCCAGGAGCTCAGGTGGCTGGAGAACTGATCTGCCCCGCAGGCAGCCCCAGTCTGTCTCTTATGGAGGGAGTCCTCTCTTCCCGTTCCCCACGCCACACAGATAAATGCTTTCTGGGGTTCTACCCAATGCCTTACAGGAAGGCAGAGGGTCCCTGTATGTGGCTGTTCAGTGCAGCCCTCTGGCCCCTTTCTATTCGAGAGCCACATACTGTGGGACTGCCTTTCCTATGGTCAGCACCCAGTGTAAAAGATGCCTCTCGTGACTGCCATTAGAAGCTTTGTTTCACTAAGAAGGCGCAGTCCCCTCCTCAAAGGCACACTCTTCCCCTGGGTCCCTCTGTCCTCTGCACGGGGCTCTCCTTACCTTCTCCTCTGCTGGGGGTTTGAGATCCCAGCTTTTGGATGCCAGTCCACACTCCCAAGGGGTGGGAGCTCTTCAGCCCCTAGCCCTAGGGCCTTGGAGCCCAGCACAGGCTTCAGGGGGGACTCCCCCTTCCTATGCCCCGCTCCCCTTACCAGACTCTCTGATGTTTCTTCAGTGCTCCCTACTTGAAATATATCCACTCAGGTATATTTCTCTGGTTTTGCCAAGTTGGCTATGCAGTATTTTAGCAGTAAATCAAGCCTGTGGCTGGGAGCAAGGGCGCTCTGCTTCTTGTCACAGTGCTGCCATCTTCCGTCCTCTGCACTATTTATTTTAAAATGCCAGTTACATGTAAAGTGTTTCAGAAAAGTGTGAAAGGGCTTTAATGAGCACCGGTCCTCCTGAGCTTTGTTAATTTAATTTCTTAACTAGAGAGGTTGCAGGCTGGAAGGGCTCTGAGATTTCTTCCTTTTTGGTAGTTTTCTGTCATTTCAGGATGAGAGATTATTTTTGTACCTTTCATAGCAGGTGAATGTGGAGCCAGATTGATACTGTCAGTAATCTGTTATTCATGCCTTTTTCCTTTGGGTATATCTCACTTGTTTTCTTTTTGTTTTCCTTCTGTGGTCACTTCATCCTGAGGTACTGATAGACAGGAAATGTTTGGGGGTGAATCTTTCATAAGCAGGTGGCTTGCTTAAATAGTGTCGAATACGAACGCTCTGTTGTCTTTACAGAGAGGCATGACTTGCATAACACATTTTGGGCACATGGTAGTTGAAGATATTAAAAACTGCTATAAATGTCTCTTTTTTCTTTTAACTTTAGAGTACTGGGACATAATGAATTCATCTGAAAAGTATGATAAGATACCTGAGATCTGGCAAGGCCACAATGTAGCTGATTACATTGATCCTGACATCATGCAGGTTTGTGTCACTTGTTAAATTACATGGTTTTTATTCCTTTTTAATACGACCACAAGGTACAAGCACAACTTTTAGCTGGTCTCATGGTGTCATGGTCAGTACTCTGTTCTGTGACTCAAGCACAGCTTTGGGCTCACCTGCACCTGTCGGTGTCGTTCCTTCTATACCCATGACCCTCCCCATCCCCAGTCACTGACAGCCTGCTCCTGCCAAGTGTCCTGGAGACCCCAACACTCTGCCCATTGGCAGTGCCATTCATCCTCGTTCCCCACAGGCCTTTTCCCTTCTCAGACTCCTTTTCTACTTCCCTCTTAACTAAAAAGATCAAAATGTGTGTAATATTCATATTTAAAAAAAAAAAATAAATATATGTATGCATATACACACACCTATCAGTTTTTATCCTTTATTGTTATTTTATTAGGTTGCACTTATTGTATAAGCTTCTTTTATGTAGAATATGAAATTATGTCATTCACAGGATTTCCCTTTTTGACAATGGCTAACCAGAAAGTTCCAAGTGACAAAGTCAAATTAAATATAGTTCCCAACAAAATACTATACATCAGGCACACTAACCTGGAAAGGTAATTTTGGCATCTGATCTCTGCTGTAGCAGGAGCTTATTTTCGGTGTTGAATAAGAAGACACTAAAAGCTCGATGCAATAATCCTGAAAGCAAAGCAACACTATTAATATGGTTTTAAACTACCAGTTACATGCCTGATTCTCTACTTGGGATTCAGGGTATTAGTAACTCCGTTGGCATTTCTGCTTTTTTCCACTGTCTTGTATTTAGTGAGTCTCCCCATGGCTACAATAGAGAAGAGCTCTGGCATAATCAGCAAGGAAGTCAGCCACCAAGTAAAAGAAATGGTGATCTGTCAGCCAGTCTGCTAGGGGCCTATCTCCCCTCCAGGGTTATCAGGCTTAGAGAGCCACCTCCTGAGAAAGCTGGGAAGGCATGTGCTTCCTTTTATGATACTTGTGTCTTTCTCCATTCATTAGAAAGGAAGCATTATAGGCTTGACAAGTGCTATTCTGCTAGGATTAGTCTATTCCCTCTTTTGTGCAAACCAAAATAATCTGGAAGAAAGTGAGTAAAAGACATGAAGTGGAAATAGCTGTTAAGCAGGAAAAGTAGCAAGACAGGTTTTGCCATTACACCACTCAACTGATTGGAACCAGAGATAAAATACAATATGATTCAAGATCACATCTCTACCAACATACTTTTCTTAGCTACCCTGAAATGCCTAGGCATGTCACTTTCTCACAGAGTATTTTAAAACAGTACCTTTCTCAATGTTTTCATTCAGGTGACAATTCTTTTTGGTCTCAGCCCCAATTTTGTTGTCATTTTCATCAATAAGAATACACATCTCTGCCAGGAGTTGAACCTGCTGTTTATCGAGGTTGTCAGTGTTGATTTCAGGCATCATTACTAAATGTCTGCTCTGTCCTAGAATCCTAAGAGGAAAGAGAAAGGCCATTACATCATTTCTCTAATCGTCACATAAACACAGTGACAAGTCATTTCTGAATCCACGACCCCAGTAAGCAAGCAAGGCATTTGAGAGGGTGAGACCTGCGTTTGCTGCTATTGGTGTTCCCACTGCCCTTATTCCCGTCATCCTGCCCCATTTTGGACATCATTTCTCCTATAAGCCACTAGCTGGCCTTCTACCATAGCCATTCTCTTAACTGCCAGACTCCATGTCCTGTGAGACTCTGCAGCACTTGAGAGTCCATCCTGTTTCTCTGCACACTTTTTTTCCTTAGGAGTCTGTCCAGCTATGATCCAGCCCAACTTTACTTTTCATGTTACTTTTCAATGTTTCTGTATTGTCCATAATAACCCATATTATATATTACATATATAAACGTGGCTTATATGGTAACCATTATTACCCCACATATGTTCCCTTTCCCTCCTATGCCACATACCAATCTCTGTTAGAATCCATTTTTCAAGGTCCAATCTATGTGTCCATCACGCAACGAACCTTTTAACCAATATCCCAGTAAGATTTAACCAGTTTTTCTCAACCGGGGCTCCTAATAAGATTGTGACTGCTGCATGCATTCTCCAGGCAGCACAGTAACTAACACCACTGCTGATGGAGACAGTTCACTGTCTGCTGTGAGAGTCACTTTGCCTGGCAGCTCACATGCAGCTGTGGGCCGCGTGGAACTTTTGCAAGGAAACTTCACTGACAGGCAGTGAAACTGGAATTTTCACTCCATGTTCACGAATACAAAATATCTCCAGTCTTCTCCCCCCCCGCAAACATCTAAAACTGAAAAACCATTCTTAGCTCACAGGACCTAACAGGCAGTGGGCCTGGATGTGGTCCACAGGCCCAAATAAACATTTAAATATTTATATAGTCTTAGACATGTATTGGTGGACAGTATTGTTATGAAATTAATTCTTACCTCATGGGGTACCTGTTAGTGTCTTCAAAATGCCAGGGGTCCCTCAATCACTCTTAAGAACTACTGATGTAGTTGGAAGCCCACTGAACTTAGAAGACCTTACTATTTTTATCAGGTCTTTGCTACTTATTGCAGAATAATTTTGTGCTAGAATTCCTCATTACCTTTTTCTATAATAGGAGAAAGCTTAGATGGTCTTTAAGTTCCCTTTTAGTTGAAATCTGCCTACATTATTTACTGTGCTAGGAGCTTTTTACGTACTTTTTCACTTTACGCTATGAAGAAACAAGTTCAGAGGTGACTTATGTTTCCCCTTTACAGCGTAACTAGGCTTATGTGACCAAAGTTCTAGACTTAAGTAACAGTACAGTATTTGTATTTCAACACTCTGAAGATTCCAAGTCATGCAAAATGTTGACATCAGATTGGGGAAAATGATATTCCTATCAGGAAATCTTTGTATATAATCTTGATACATGTGGAGAATCAGAATTCAGAATACCCAGCGATAGGAGTCCATTGTGTTTGCTTAGGTCTATTTACAAGATTCAGATTCACATAGTTGTTTGGTTTTAAGTTTCAGGTTCACTCCAGAGCAGTTTGAGTATTTGGTTTCCATATTGTTAATATTAACGAAAAGAGGAGATAGGAGTTAGTTCTAGCTCAGCCTCTTACACTGTGACCTTGAGCTAACATTACTACATATATTGGAGCACCTCTCCCCTAAAATATGTGTAAAATTAACTGGGCACTGTTATCGTTATGAATATAAATGATTGTTGGGTTATAAGTCATGTGGTATTGATAAAGAAATAAAAGGATATCAACTGTGTGGCTTAGAGACCAATGCAAACCTCCTTACTCTCCTTATAGTAATTTAGCTTTCATTGATAGGTACTTTTGATCAATAGAGATAGTTTTCTAATGTCACCTGGTATGGTTTGCAGTATATGTTTAGTTGTTCTTTGTAAGTAGAGATCCCAACATTTTGGCCCCCAAATAATTACCTTATTTTGCAAGAATCTAGGTGTTATAATGAGAACAATGCAAATTTGTTTCTTTACTCAAAACCATCAAAACTCCTCTTCTGGAACTGAATCAAACATATTCCTAAAGACAGCTTGAAGACTAAACATACACCCACTGTGAGATTAGTTGTTCCTTTTTGTTTACCACGTGGACAGCGCACAAGGTAACTAGTACGTACTGGGTGAAACCTAATACAGACTGTAATGTTTTTTGAGGCAAGAAAGTCAGTACCTATTCCAGTGTCATGGATGAGGCACAGGTGACATGGGTCAGCAAGTCAGTCCTGGTGAAGTTTCATTGTATGGACTGGACATTTTGTTCCAGAAAACTATGGATTAACTTTCCTAGTGAGAGCAGTTTTGAGTAGGAAAGACCGAGCAGTTGTTTAAGTGATTGTATTCACATGCCAGCTGATTGTGTTTTTGTTAGTTCTCCCCTTGTATAGAGCTAGATAAATTTGGTGCATAAAAGGAACTGGAAAACTTGACCTATGCCATTCAGGAGTCTATATACTCATGAGGAGAAGTACAAATATTTGTTTACTCTTTATCAAACATTTTTTGGCGCATACAGTGCCAGGCACTTTTCGAGGTCATGGGAATACAGCAGTGAGCAAAAGAGAAAAAGTTGTTTTTATAGAGTTTACTTGCGAGTGGGGGAAACCGTAACAAATACAGAAATAATTCCAAGAGGTTATAAGTACTATGAAGGAAAATACAGTTAAGGGATAGTGATGGACTATGCCATTTAAAAAGAAGTGATAAGGAGAACATTTCTGGGGTGGTGATATTTGAGCAGAGATCTAAATAAAGTGTTAAATATGGAGTTCTTCAAGAAAAAATGTTTATTTTATATATATAGCTCATATAATGCACATATATAAAATGACTTGAGAATGATCATGAAGCAACGTTATCAACCAGCCCAACCCTATAGTATACCCAGGTGTCTGAGGCACAGGTCAAACAATCAGCAATGAAGCACATGATTGAATACCCAGCAAACCTTATCTATCAACCATGTTCACGACTGAATCTCACTAAACTCAGCTTTGTTTCCCTCTTGGTGGGGATAAATCATATGCCTTTTGCATGGATGGGCACATGACAAAATAGGAACTTCTTTTATGCGAAGGGTACGCCCTAGTTTCTGCAAGAGTATGTAACTGGATACCAGGATGGCAATCACAACTTTTTACAATGGAGGCTAGCTTTTAAAAAAAAATATGCAGAGTTATTTCAGGATAGTGTTATGGGCTGAATTGTGTCCTACCCCCAGTTCATATGCTTAAATTCTAACCCCCAGAACCTCAGAATGTGACCTTATTTGGAAATAGCGTTGTTATAGATGGAATTAGTTGGGATGAAGTCACAGGGGAGTAGGATGGGCTCCTAATCCAACAGGATCTTATAAAAATAAAAAGAATACCAGTGAACGGACCTGCACACAGGGAGATGACAAGTGAAGACTGGAGTTATGGCTGCCACAAGCCAAGTAATGCCAGGTAGCTAAGTAGCAGCTAAGAGAGGCATGGAACAGTTTTCCTCACAGCTCTCGGAAGGAACCAACTCTGCTGACACCTTGATCCTGGATGTCTAACATATTTCTGTCCTTAAGCCACCTAGTTTGTGGTATTTTATTTCAGCAGCCCTGTCAAAGGAATACATGGTGGAAAGAACGTGGACTTTGACGTGGACCTGGATATTGTATAGTACCTTTTTGAATTTTGAAAAGTAATTTTAACACTCATGTTTAATTAAAATTCAATTTAGAATCATTTCTACTTTATATTTTTGAGGATTAAACAAGTTACCAAATACTGAGCGCCTGGCACACAGTAGGCCCTCAAAGTGATGATTCCTTTCCTTTCTTAGTTTTGTTACACATGCACTCATTTATTTACAGTGGCTTTTGTGGAATCCCAAATATATAAAAGAAAAATTACCTCAATTAACAATATCCTGTTTCATCCAAACTGTGGATGCTGTGTTGCAAAATAAACACAACTATTAGCATGTGAGTTAGCTGAAGATACGGTGGTTCATAAAGCTTTCCATCAGCGACCATGCCCAGTAGAAGTCCTTGTGCACATTAGGTGACAAAACGATTACGGGAATGTTTCCTACAAACTCCAGAGTGTGAAGGCCTTGGTTCATCTTACATAACTGTTTCCAGCGATAAGCTTTTATTATACTTAATGCAGCCATCACTTAAGGTTTTATTCTACATAGTTTTTGGTTACTTGAATCGCCAAATACGTTAAATTTGTTTCTTGTCTAAAAACCGTATTAGTGCATCTTGAATTCCAATGCTGAGCTTTAGTTTTTAAAGGAAGGAGCAAGAAGGGTGACCCAGATACAAGAGAAATACTTTCAGGCTTTTGATTCACTGCGATGAGCTTTTCATGCCCAGTGGGAGCTGGACTCATCTGCTATGCAGATTTTCCAGCCTGGCTCAAAGCCGAGAAAACCTTCGCAGTGAGCAGCTGATTTCGTTTCTCTTGTGAGCCAATGGTGAACGGATACTTCAGAAAGGACGCTGGCTGAGTCACCTTCTGCAGATAAGCTGAAATATTAATAGTATCTCAGCCAGGCTCCGAGCAGCAACCAGCCTAGCTCACGTCCGCCCTGGGCCCGGCCGTGAGGGCGGCCCCGAATCCACGGGCCTGCGGGACGATGCACCGGAACGTGCGATGCCGGGGCGCCGAGGAACCCGGCCGCGGTGAGTATCTGCGGCCCCACACCACAGGGGCTCCCCAGACCAGCGTCGACGCGGGAGCGAGGGCCCGGTGGTGACTAAGGACAAGGAGCGCCATTGCGACTCCGCCCACGTCGCGAACGATCCCAGGACCCCTAGGGTCCGACCCCGAGGGCACCGGCGGTGGAGCGGGACTTCCGGTGCGGGCTCGAGGCCAAGATGGGAGTTCCGCTGAGGGGCGGAGCCAGAGCGGGACCTCCGGCGGTGCGAGCGCGGAGCCAGGCCGGGCACGACTTCCGGCGGCACGGACGAGGCCAGGTGGAACTTATGGGGGGGCTGGGCGGAGCTTCCTGCGGCCCGGAAGTGGGCGTGGTCTGCGGGATTTCCGGCGTCATGGGCTGGACTTCTGCGCGGGGCGAGGCCGGGACTTCCGACGGCGCCGGAAGTGCGGATAGTCAGGTTGCCGGGTCTTGGGGACGCATCAGGGCTGATTCCGTGTCCTGTATCTCCGCCTCGGTCCCTAGTGCCGAGTGGCTGGGAAGCGACGGTGGCAGCGCACGGCCCGGCAGGCACTGGGCGGCGGGCTTGGCGGCGGCGTGATTGGTGAGTGCCGGACCGCCATCTTCCTTCCGGGACGGGCTGCCCCTGTGAAGGAATCCGCGGCTTCGCCCTGGGGTGAGGGCATGGTTGTGGGGGCCCAGTCGCCCCGCGCCTTCCGGTGCCCTCTCCCGGACTTCATTGCCCCCATTCGTTTCCGCGCGACCCCCAGCTCCGTGCACTCTGACCCGCATCCCTAGCCCTGCCACTAGTGAGGGCCGGCGAGGGTGCATTGAGTCCCGCAGCGATGCTGGGTGTCCTGGCGCCGCGGGCGTCAGTTGCTTTTCCCGGGCAGACCGCGCCCCCACTGCACGCGTGGTGTGGGCAGGTGGCAAGAGGCCTGGGGAGTCGGCTCCCCCACAGCGCCCCTCGTCCTTACCCGGGGATGCTGCGCCAGAGTGGGAGAGCACTGCTGGTTTGGAAGTTTCCGTAATTGAGGTTTAAACGGGCTCCCGTTAAGTCCAGTGTGCTGGTCTACTCGTCTGACCATAGAGGTGCCCCCGGAATTACCTGCGAATAAGCAAATTCTCCAGGTAGTCGCGTACCCCAGGTCTTTTCTCCGGTTGCTGGGCATCCTCTGCACGCTCCCTTCGCTGTCTGGAACGCCTCTGGGTCAAAGGCTGGTCAGCCAATCCCTTGTGAAGTGTATGATGGAGGTGGGATAACGCAGTGACCGTTACCCCTCGTTTCTGTTAGTAATGCCCAAGGAGACAAGAGGCTAGTGGAACCTGACCGCATTCAATAATAGCAGTGCGACCTTAGGCAAGGAACTTCTCAGTCTTCATTGCTAGTCTCGTGTTGTTATTGAGAAGGTTATGTTATAACGTGACCCGCATTCTTGCAAAGACCTCACTCAATACAGGACATCTTTTTTTTGTTTGTTTTTAATCCTCATTCGAGGATATTTTTCCCATCGATTTCGGAGAGAGCAGAAGGGGGGGAGAAAAACTTGGATGTGAGAGAGGTACATATATTGGTTTTCTCCACTGAGATCCAGCCTGCAATCGAGGTATGTGCCCTTGACTTTCTTAACCATTGAGCCAAACTGGCTAGGGCAGCACAGAACATCTTTGTTAAGCATGCTTCTTGCCTTGTTCAACCTCTCAGTACTTTCTTCCAGATAGCGTAAGTAGTCAGACCTTTCACTTACTTTGCACTTGCCTTGAGGTAACACCCTTACGCTTACCCCCCCAACCCCGGGTGATACTTAGAGCTGCTCTCTGTATATTCTGTCTTGGTTCTTCTAAGGACAAAATTTAACATTCATTAAATTTCATCCTAGGCTTTGAGCTCATTTTTAAAAATGTTTTTATTTTTTAAAAATACATTTTTATCGATTTCAGAGAAAGAGGGAGAGGGAGAGAAACATCAATGATGAGTCTTATTGATGTGCTGCCTCCTGCTTGCCCCCTGTGGGGGATCCAGCCTGCAACCCAGGATGTGCCCAGACCAGGAATAGAACCTCAGTCTCCAGGATCATAGATTGATGCTCAACCGCTGAGCTACGCTGGCCTGGCTGAGCTCATTTTTTTAAAAACTGTTGACATCTTTAAAAAATCTTGGTTGTTATGTGCTCTCCCTCTAGGGAGCATACCCCTGCCATTCCCTTTGCCCTCTCCTTCAAAAAATAAAAAAAACTTGGTTGTTATTTTTCTTTCAGTGATGTCCCCTAATTCAGTGTCATTCAGAGAATTGATAAGGCCATGTCCTATGCCTTCATCTAGATCAATAACAAACATTTAAAGCAGGCTGACTGCTGACAGATTTCTGAGGTTGCCTCTCTGCTGAAACCGCTCAGCAACTGAGTTTGGTGTTTAGCCAGCCAGGAATTTACCTAACGGCTTTCACAATAAAATGCTATGAAAACTTCATTGAGCTTGTGGAAATTCAGTCAAACTTTATATTTTTAAATGCCATATGAAAATTATATTCTTTAACCATTCTTTTGCATATGATTAACACTTAAGTGTTTTTCTCTTGCTAAAAGAAAATTGTTTAAAAATCCCACTGGATATAAAATGATGAATAGTGTTTTGGCTATAGGGGGTAATATACATGTGACTGCATACACCAAGGGCAAATGAGTTGGGCAGAAGGAGAATTTATATTAAATCCATTTATTTGAATGATAGGCTAGGGATGTTGGATTTTTGGAGGGGACTATTTTTTATTGAAAAAAAACAACACTTTCTAAAAAAACCCCTTTTTCAAAAAACCACTGGGACATTTTATTTACATAAACCTGTTCAGTGTGGTAATCTGTCCTATAATATTGGGTTAGTATGAATATTTTGAAGGAAAATAATTATCTTTTGGAATTTTAGGCTTCGGTGTTAGTTTGTATTTAGGTGAAACAGTTCACAGTGGTTAAAGTAGCTGATTTTTAGAATTCTTTCTCTTTACAGTTCTGTGACCGATTTACTAAAGTCTTTAGCCTGTTAAATATTTGGAAACTACCTCACAGGAATGTTGTGAGCAGTAGTGGTTCTGTTTTTACTGACCCATTTGAGTCTCACAGCAACTTTTTGTAAAAGTTCTTCCACCTCAGGTCACTCTCCCACCTGTTGGTATCTCCTTTAGTTCTTTCTGTCTGCACTTCCTCCTGCTCTAGTCTGGGTTCCATGCCACATCATTTTAATAGTCCTAAACACTTGAAACTTCCTTGCCCGTCTTTCCATGTCAGCCTTCAAAAACCCTAAATTCGTTATCAAATGTTTAAATAAAATTTAAACTAACACTGACCTATGGTCTGAGGTGAAGACAATAGATACCTTAGTTCCTGCGCCAAGGGCTTATTCTCCATGGAGGGTCTGCTGTGAAAGGAAGTGGTGCTGGGACCAGTGATACTTGTTGGGAAAAGGTGGGATGTAAATGAAGAGATGAGTAAAATTTAAAAATAGTTTCAGTAAAAAAATTGTGACAGATTAACAAAAATTGTGACAGGAAAAAAAAAATTTAAAAGAGGTTAGAACTAGAGGAACCTACAGATGTAATTTTGGAAGAATGGTGAACTATAGCTGAAGACAAGGAAGAGGCAGAACCTAAATTTTCTAGATAATCTTTTATTAATATACAGCATAGTGTACATGAACTCATATTAGTGTACAGCATAGGCACATGAACTCATATCAGACATTTGACTGCATAGAGTTTCAAAAGTTAAAAAAAGATAAAATCACTCAGTATGAAAAAACCTCCATTTGGCCAGTCAGGCATGGTTCAGTGTTTGAGCATCAACCTAGGATCCAGGAGATAGCGGTTCGATTCCTGGTCAGGGCACAGGCCCTATTTGCAGGCTCGATCCCCAGTCGGGGGCATGCGAGAAGCAGCCTATCGATGACGACTCTCTCATCATGGATGTTTTTGTCTATTTCCCTCTCCCTTCCTCTCTCTGAAATCAACATATTAAAAAAAGAAAAAGAAAAATCTCCATTTGATGCCAGGTTTTGTAGAACCAAAACTTGTTCCAGATTTATAATTTATTATAGTTTGAAATGTATATTTGGTTTGAAATTGATCAACCGGGAAAGATTACCAATGTATGGACTGTTTTGTGAAGTGACAAGCAAAAGGCAAAGCCCAGACCATATGCTTCATGGAAATGAGTGATGCGTTAAAAGCTCAGTGAAAGGCAGAAGGTGAGGATTTTAAAAATTAATTGTGAAGAAGACTGCTAATTTACTAGTGAAGGTATAGTGGCTGGAAAAGCCAGAGGTGTGATATTAAGAGAGAAAATCCACTGTGAGGTGAAAGGAAGGTTGTTACTGCAATCTTTGCACTTTGTATAACCAAGTGATAGACTCTTGGTGGTGCATTAACTTCCCAGTTTATACTTAACAGAATGCTTCTGCTAAAGTTCTTGAGAGAGGAAGGAGAAACCCTTTTCTGTTTTATTTGCTTGATTTAACTGTCTAAAGATAAAGTCTCCTTTTTTTCTCTGAGGTCTTATCAGGACAGCTTTCACAGGGTTTTGATATTTTCATTTCTTTACAAAACACCTTATAAGTTGCAAGGTAACTGGTAAATTGCTGTTAATGATTTTGTAAACTGAGATGCTTTATGAAGTTATTAATATTTGTAATCACTGGTAAAGAATTATATTCACCTTCCTATATTTTTATGAAGAATATAATTTCTGGAGAAGATTCCATTAGGTTAGTTTCTTGGCCAATTTTTGTATATGGCACAGTTAAATAGTTTCTAAATGTTTCCATTGGAAAAATACTAAAATATTGTTCAGTGGGTGATCATATGAATTGTTTCACAATATAGATTTATTATATTCAGGTTTGTTGAATTTAATATCAATAGAACCTTTGTTTTCTAAATAAAATTCCACCAATTACAGATTCTGCCATTGTGAGTTTTTCTTTATGTCTTTATTCAATAACCTTTAATTTCTATAGCTCAAAATTTTCAGATCTAAATTTCATCGAAATATTTGTCCTGTTATATTTCAGTTAAAAAAATGTTTCCATATGTCATTTAAGGGACCGTCAGTTTTCTGTTGCTTATTTCACAGGTAATACGAATTATAAACT